ATAAATAAAAATGTTAATGTTATATTAGAGCTACATATTTATAGTATCATTTTTCAATTTAGAATTTCACAATATTAAAATTAAGTTGATATGTACTGATAACACTGATATAGCCTATATAATATGAATTATATATCAACACAAGAAAGTCCAAACATATCTCTTTAATAGGAAATTCTATCCTTATTTAGTAAGTCAAACAAGGTAATTCTATACAAATCTTGTGTTCTCTCCTTTTGCAAGTTTAGTTAATTTTATAATCCAGCTTCCTACTATAGGCATTAAATTGCTTCTGTAACATATAATAATTTTAATGCAATTAAAATGTTCCCTGTAATACTCTACTTTTTTTTACTAATATATGAAAACTTTGTAATATTGAGATTATTGATGTAATGACAGTTATTAAAACAGGAAGAGGTTTAAAAAAGAAATAGTTCTTGTGATAGATTTTTTCCAGTTTCAATGCTAATTAATGGCATTAATGGATTAGTTCATTTAATTAAAAATAGCATCAGCCATTCTCAGGCTATTTATTCTGCTGAGTGATTCTGTATTTATGAACTAAAGTCTTGACCTGATGATGTGGTTATTTAGATCATAAAATCCAGAGGCTCTCATATGTCTGCAAAGAAAGTAATAGTGTCTTCCTGCATAATCTAAATAAAATGCATTAATTTCTGTTATATAGTAGAATCTATATAATATGTAACCTACACATCTCCAATTTGCCACTGGTTAACGGATGCTCTCATTCTTTATAATGAATGAATGAATAAGTGAATGAGTTACTTCATGTCCTGTAATAGATGGTAAAACTGATCACATAACTTGATCTAAAACAATTAAAGAGTATATAATTATGTACAGGCATATTCAATTAATTAAAAGAATTTGAATTCAGTTATCAACATGTGGGAGATGTTGTACTTAGACTGACTAATGGCAAAAGGCTGTGTCCATAAATAGAGGAATAGCAGTCATCCAATGTCTACAATCCAATTTTCCACGACTAGAGTGCTTCTGCAGTATAGGGAGGTATAGGGGCTCATTGGTGATAGTGCAAGTGGGGGTGCTTTGGAACAAAATATTTGGCTATAAATTTTTTTTAAATACTGTATCCTGTATTATTGTATAATTCTAATATTCTCTGGGAACTGACAAAATATTAAAAAGATGGAAAGCAAAATATGGAATTCAAAAACTATTTTTCTCTTAAGCTTTAATTTTGTAAACTTTTATTATGATTATATCCCATGTTTATTATGACATACATAAACTAACCCAGGTGTGTCCATATGCAGCCCTGGACATCTGGTGTAATGTGGCTCCACAATACATTTTTTTAAAAAAGTTTGTTATCGCTATCTATATACAGTAACTATATTATATATTTTATATTATATTTATATGCGGCCCAAGACAATTCTTCACTCACTGTGGGCCAGGCAAGTCAAAAGGTTGGATAACCATGAACTGACCTCTTCGTATGATACTATGTCTTATCATAGATCATCCTATTGTGTATTCTGTTATAATTCTTTGTAGAAATAATCCAATTCCATTTTCAAAATGGAAACCTGATAATAGCCTCTGGTAGCGTTTGTAATTAATTTAAGGTTTCTAGAAGAGAAAATAAATTATCTTACAGATGCAACTTATTTTCAAATAATGGCATCAAGTATTTATGGAAAAGTAAATAACTGACTCAAGAATAGACTGAGAGTCATTTAATATAATGGCCCTTTTAATATTAGATAGCATTCTGCAGTGTACTCTATATGATCTTATTTGACTGAAGAAAATAAGAATAAAAAAAACACATTAAATTAAGTAAGTTTCTTGCCAGTTTCTCTGACAGTGCATTTGACTTCTATACAGCATCTGGATTTACAATTGAAAGAACTCAAAGTAATTTAAAAAAATTGTTCAAGGAACAACAAGTGCTGTATTTAAAGACTATTCAGCAAATAAATAGAAGAGATTGATTACAAAACTGCTTGCATTCTTCTTCTTAGATAAGCTGTGGGAGGCTATTAGAACACATTCAACTTTACCTATTGTAGAATTCAGTAAAAATGATGTTGCACAATGAGACTGAAACATCAGAGTTGGTTCTTTTTCTCTATTAAAATTTTTGGTTGAAGTAGATGTAATAATCACTATGGGTAAATTGCCTATCCATCTAAGCCTTTGTAAGGATCTGCTCTCTCCATACTGTTTAATATGTAAGTTTGTTTATAGCATATGATATTGAGGCTATTTTGAGAAGTCCATGGTGAGAGTTACAACAATTAAGTGATTATATGAACAACTACTTTGATTGTTGAAATTGCGAGAACAATGGAAATATTTGCAAATTTAACATAAAGGTAAACATCCTAAACTCAAACTCAACTAATGGTGATTACATGGATATCACACTGTAGGGGTTTTTTTGGTACAGTGTGGAAGAGGTTTACCATGTCCTTTGTGTTTTTCCAGTTGAGCCTACAGCTCTGTGATTTCCTTGTGGTTTTAATCTAAGTAGTAACCAGGCCTACCCTTCCTTTGCTTCTTTCAAGGTCAGCCAAGCTTACTAAGAAGGGGGGGGGGATGGAAAAAGACATGGGATGGCAAATCCTCCCTAAAAAAATTAGTGTAAACTTAAGAGCACAATAAAAAATCAGAGTGTGAAAAGTCTTGTGTACACCACAAGTCGTATCTGGAACTGAGATTGTTTGCCTTTCATTGGGTCTTTGAAGGACATTTCCCACCACTGAAAGGGCTGTTTAAGACCATAATAAGAATAGTGCTGGATCAGACCAAATACCTCTGTTCCTTCAATGGGTAACCTTTAAGAAATTCATATGCAGGGTGTAAGAAGAATGATATCTTCCACTTGGTTGTGGTACTGAAAGCTGTAGTCCTCTTGATACATAATCTCTCTCTGTGTGGTGGGAATGGTGTAGTCATTCTCACTAAATATGTTCAACTATCACTGCCTAAATAGCTCTTGGATTCATTATGGGAAATATACATGGATGTTTCTCTTTCAGATAAGCCCATATGTTCACCATCTACAATGCAATATAAACATTTTTATTCATCATTTTATGTATAAAATTTCTATATTGCATTTTCTTGACCAGCTTGAATGAGTGTATATAGATACTGAAATAATTACTATCAGAGATTACCTTGAAAACAATGCAGTTGCTATAAATGAAACTACTGAAAAGAAAATATATGGATTATAATTGTGTTGCCCCATGCATTTCATATAGAAATATATTGGAAACCACTTGACATTTTTTGATGGGAAATGGTATAGTAATGCTGTAAATAAATAAAAAAGAAATACTCACTCCATGGGCACAATAATATCTGCTTAAGCATTTCTATTTTTTTTTATTAAAAATAGTAGATCAAATCCTGTGATATTGGGCAACTGAATTTTATTTAAAAAAGCTTTTCTTTGTATGCAGCTAATGTAGTGTCAAAGAATATGTCATCTAGCAAAACACAGTCTTGCATTTAAGAAGTGGAGCATATTATTAGCATTTGCGTTACAGAGTAACTTTAATTTTGTTTTCTTCTTTTCACTTCATTAACTTTTCTTCCCATTACATTCTTAATTCCTTGATAGTAGAGGTTTCTTTTAGTTGCTACATGTTGTTCTTAAGAGCTAACACTTAATGAATATAAAAGCGTTTTCTTACTCTTTCATTGTCATTCAATGGATTATTAAAATGTCTATTTTAAGCCAACTTTAGGGGGCAAGAATCTTGAAGGTATCATATACCCCCCTCTTAAAGAATATATCTCAAATTTGTTGGTTTAAGGACCCTACAACTTGCTATTTTACAAACTACTAAAAAATCCCAAGAAATCTAGATTACATGCTATATATGTCAAACTCGATCTTGTCACATGATGTACCGTGATGTATTGTGACTTTTTTGCCTTTGCGGAACTGGGATGGGCGTGGCCTTCATGTGACGCATCCGGCCCGCAGGCCGCCAATTTGACACCCCTGCTATATGTAAACAGAGAAATCCACCCTGATGCAATATTGCATCATAATATTATGCTATTACTTCATTTGGAGGAGGGGAATGGTGGTTCAGCGGTTAAAGAAGCTGAGCTTGTCAGCTGGAAAGCTGACAGCCTGGGTTCAAGCCTAGAGTGCTGCACAACGGGTGAGCTCCCATTACTTGCCCCAGCTACTGCCTACCTAGCAGTTCAAAAGCATGCAAATACCATGTGTCTCCGTGTATAGTCATTCTGGCCACATGACTATAGAAATGTCTTCAGACAACACTGGTTCCCTTGGTTAAGAAACGGAGATCAGAGCACCACTCCCTAGAGTGGGAAACAACTGGACAGAGGAAACCTTTACAGTCACCTTTACTTCATTGCAGAGAGGTGCAGAAATAAATTCTAAGCATTTTTTAATGTATGCCTTTATAATTATAGAAACACTCTTCACATGGAAAATCCTATTTTTTTAAAGCAACAAATGGTTTAATGTTTAAATGTTTAGGATTTAGAAATTAATGAATTTCTATTTAATTATGTATCATATTAATTCAGCCTTCCCACTCAGGTGACTTTTAGATAAGACTTTTCCTGGTAAATTGCTGAGTGAAAAATCCTGCAATCCAATAGATTTGAAGGGCAGTAGGCTGAGGAGGAGTATAGTAATAAGAATGTAGAGCTGTGAGCTGGTCAAAGATGCAGATGCTTAAGAAATCAATGAATTGGAAACCAATAGGAGGAATAAAATATTTAGGCTAGTTACTCATAGCCCAACTCAACCTCACAAGGTTGTTGTTGTGGGGAAAATAGGAGGAGAAAGGAGTATTGTGTGTGTTCATCCCCTTGAGTTATTTATAAAGTTAATAAAGGAGGAAATAAATAAAATTATTATTTGTCTCTATTCCAAATGCAACACTCTTGTTTAGTAATATATGGGAAAATAATCCACTGATGACTTTTTTTTCTGCTTATATTTACAGGATAAATTAACCCAGGAGTGTGTGTTCAGAGAACAATTTGAAGAGAACTGGTATAATACATACTCATCAAACCTATATAAGCATGTGGACACTGGAAGACGATATTATGTCGCATTAAATAGAGATGGAACCCCCAGAGAAGGGACCAGGACTAAACGGCATCAGAAATTCACACATTTTTTACCTAGGCCAGTGGACCCTGAGAAAGTCCCTGAACTATATAAGGATATTTTAAGCCAAAGTTGACAAAGACATTTCCTTCACTTGAGCCCTTAAAAACCAACAACCACTATAAAGGTTTCATGCGGTGGGTTCTTAATTGATTAGCTGTGTCATCACATCAGCTCCACTGTTGCCAAACTATGTCGCATGCATAATATATGATGGAGGCTTGGATGAAACTTGCTGATGGTGTTCCGCACTTAAAAGGTTTGTCTTCTGGAAGAGAGCCTATGCCCATCGCTTGATTTATTGAGTGAGAAAGAAAGAGTGAGAATGTTTGAGAATGAAAGCAGAAGCTGAAGAACGAAGGAAGGGGGGAAAGGCCTGATGCATGCTGGGAAATAGACACGCTTTTAAATTTTTTGGTCTGTTGTATACTTCATCCTAGATCAGCATAGCTGCCATACTTTGACTCATGAAGAATTTTGGCTGGTGGCCTGCTCAAGTGTACGCTGTATTTTTTTTTTTTTTAAAGCAAAGGCATGGAGGGTATGGTCTGTCTAAAATCCAAACAGGAAAAAAGAGACTTATTTTCAGTTTGACTGCTCAGTTGAGAGTCACCCCTTAATGAATTTCAAGTAAAGACCTCTTAGTAATACAGGATTTTTTTTTTTAAAAAAAGTTAAATTTATTTATAGAAATCCAAAGGCAACATTTTATTTATTTTATATATTTATTTATTATATAGAGTTTATTTTTAATGACATATGTACAGGCCAGATAGGCAGATTGGAAGCTATAGGCTCTGGAAAACATTTCAACAGCAAAGACTGCTACGACCGTGTGATTAAATTCATACAAGTCAAACATAAAGGTGCATGGAGGCAAGGAGGGATCCTAATGTACTAAAGGCAACAATATTTTTTGTGCCCATATTATTGTAAAATTATGCACACCACTCATGACTCTTGAGTGCTTACTCTTCTGACTGCTTGTTTCATAGCTTAAAATCTCCCCCTTTTCCTCTCCCTCTCTTACTGAGGATTAAAGATAAAACTGGGTCTTCAAAACTTTAATTCTGTGTCTGTAGTATTTCCTCTTTGATAAGCAACTTATCAAACTTATTTCTACAAACTTCCCAATTGTGGAATAAAAAACACAAGGAAATAAAAGAAGGGTTGGTATATGATATATTCTACTTGTTAAACCTACTGCAGATAATACCAAAGCTACATCATAAATATGTATGAGGTTTTTTTTTTAACTTAAGCAGAATGTCAGAAATATTCTAATGTTTTATTAGGATATTTTTGTACCAGTTAAGGTTCTCTCTCACAAGTAGTAACAAAGGCCAGAGACAAAACTCTCACTCTTGTAAACTTGTTGAATTGTGCACTTGATTATCTACTCTGAAATTACACAAGTTCCATGGGGGTTATTATCTTTCATGGGAAAAATGCTTTCATTGTGGTCTATCATAATACATATAGGACTCTTGCAGATGACAAGAGTACATTTCTATTGAGAATTACAATGTGGGTGAAAGTACTATACTTAAATTATGTTTCAAATGTTCTTAAAGCATATTGTGCTGGCTGCACTGCATAATGTGTATCAGTGAGGATTGTGTAACATAATGAGTGCAAGCATACCTTTTGTTAGTAGCTATAATTTGGGCTTACCCATAGAGGAGAGGCTTTGTCATAAAGCCCTAAGATCAACAGAGGCCGCAGAAACCTTGACAATGACTGCAGTTCATGCACTTACATGTACATACCATTTCAATAAAAGTTGGCAGCGGAAATGTAGAGAGTTTAGACTACAGTAATATAGTCAGCTCAACATGGCTCTGGTTATAGCCTGGATTCTATGTAAAATGGGAGTGCTCTGTTGTTCTTTGTAGCAGGATTTGCACATAACACTATACCATAGAATAAAGATAGTAAATAACATGAATAATGTATAACATACAGTGCGGCCCCCAATAAAGAAAATGTGTCTTATTTGGGGGCAGCAAACTTCAGTCTGAAATTAATGTTGCTGAGTTACAAGACCTGGCTTCTGTTCATTATACTTCATCATCTACCAAATTCTTCCCTTTTTTTTTTTGTTTGTTTTGATCTTATTTTTTGCAATTAGAAAAAAAAATGGAGAGAACAAACAAATCATTATTATATTTTTCACCTGCAAAACTGATTAATGTTTAATAAAAGATGGTTAAAGATTCTGGATAAGAATTAGATGCAAAAGTAGTAAAGGAATTGTAGAGGACGTTAGCATATGCATTGATTGTGCTACAATGCAACAATAATTTGCTAGAAAGTAAAGAGTTGCTCATTGTGAACTCAAAATCCATCTCAATCTCTATTAAAATCTTCTACTGGAAGCTACTAGAAGCCCTTGTGGCACAGTGGTTTGAATGCAATATTGCAGGCTAACTCTGCCCACAATCTGGAGTTCGATCCTGCTAGCACCTAGCACTCAAGGTTGGCTCAGCCTTCCATCTTTCCGAGGTTGGTGAAATGAGGACCCATATTGTTGGGGGAAATATGCTGACATTGTAAACTGCTCAGAAAGTGCTGTAAAGCACTGTGAAGTGGTATATAAGTCTAAATGCTATTTCTATTGCTATTGAAGCAATCCCAGAACCGTATGTATATACCATGACTTTCCACAAGAAGGTCTTTTCAAACAACAAGCAGTTTCAGGTCTGAAGTAGCAATCAATTAGGAATAAATTTTGATGCATTAGCTTAGGTTAATATATTCAAGATGAATTAATATTCTTTTAATTGGTTGTATGGTTGCCCTTTGGAAAGAAATTGGACAAGAAAATGCAGTAAATTCATATGATCAGTTTTAGGTCAGAACAATTTCTTATTTTCTACTTGTTTTGCTGAAGTATTAAATCATCTCTACCCTTGAAGTCAGTGAGTTAAACATTTTCCTGCCATTTCTAAAATAATCAGTGGTGCAAGATTGTAGTTATGAAGTCACAGACATACTTACATACTATGGGAGATGGAAAACAAATATGGGACTATTATTTTAGGAATAACCTTGTGTCAAATGTATCCATAGTGTGTAGCTAATCTACAACACCTAGTCCTGGGTAATTTCTAGATGTGATAAGATGCAGCTATTCACGATTAGTTTGTTGGAGAGCTGTCCCATATACAGTAATTGTCAGCTATATTTATGTGAATGCCATAAGCAGCATCCACAAGGGAGGAGGGTCATCAAAAAAGTCAAGATGGTGGTTATGACAACACACTAGAAACTACCCCTTTGTGTATATTTGTGAAGTTACATGTATCTCTTGTAATGGCTTGATGCCATCTTTCCTTTTTTTAACCACCTCCTCCCTTTCCCAAGACATTGCTGAATGGCATAATATGTACATTATTCATTGTTGTTTTAGCACAAAAAATATTCATTTTATTAGGATCAATGAGAGCGCTCCATGACATTAAAATGAAAAAAGGTGTTATCAATCTATTTGCAGTTCATATTATAACCAAATGTAAGACTTTCTGAATTTATTATGAATTGCTAAGAAAATTAGACTAGGATCATTCCTTTGCAACTGACACCTAGATTGACTCCAAGAAACACCAAACATATAATTACAGAGAAATTAATATTATAAACTATATAAATATATTTCAAGTGGTATCTTAAATACTGAACTGAGAATCAAACCTATGAAATCTAGCATGACTTAATAAGTATGATCAGGACTGAACTGTTAATTTTTGCTCAGAGCTAATTATTTAAGGAGTTTATTCTATTTTGTAATAACTTTTTTATCACCACCTGTTATCTTTTTTAACCTTTGCTTCACATTGAAATAATGAGTCAGTTGCATCTTTACCTGTAAAGTAGGCACATGCAATACAGTATTAAGTAAAAAGTTCAGAGTTCACTGACAATGCATGAGCAATCCATCTGGAGCAGGGATGTCAAACTGCCCGCCCGTAGGCTGGTTGCATCATGCAGAGGCCACGCCCACCCCAGCTCCGTCAATGCAAAACAAGTCACGATACGTCGCGACACATCACGTGATGTGGCGAGTTTGACACCTGTGATCTAGAGCTTTATAAAATTGCCTGCCAGAGACTGCAGACATAGGTGGCATGTCAAGCACCTGATAAGCCTTAATGCTGGTCTGTATTCAACTTGATGGTTCACAAGTTACACAGACCTCTTGTTTAAATGGTCAAACCACTTTCACTGGAAAAATGCCAGAGTTTTTAAGATGACTTTAAATATAAATTACTTTTCAACTGCATCTTTAAAATTTGGACCATAAATTGATCATCTTACAAGGAAGTGGGATAAAGTACAGCATGTTCAACATCTGATAGCAGAAAGATGTACGCATGTATATCTATATGGATAAAAGTATGTATATGTATATCTATATGTATGATAGATATAGGTATGTGTGTATGTATGTATGTCTACCTGTGTAGTTGCATAATGATGGATTCAAGGAGCAATAAGCATCCAGATTTGCACTATGTCCACAAAAATGTTAAGGACACTCATAAGCAAGGTCAGCTTTGCCACAACTGACCAGAATAAATAAGACCATATTTTTAGCCTTAATGTGGAATTTGCTGGGGGGGGGGTTTGATCACAGACAGATCATTAATATTACTTAATGTGTTTTAATTTATTTTTTTGTATTTTTTAAAGAAAGGACTAAAAATAAGCAAGAAAAAAATGTTATGACTTTGTGGCAGTTGATATAATAAACTATAATCAATATATTCAAATAACCCATAGTGTTGTGTTGGATATTTGAATATTTAGAGATACGGAATTATCATAGATGTTTTCTTGAACATGAATATTTTGGCTCATAGTCGCAGACTTCAGAGCTTTTTGTACATATGGAAAACAAGTAAAACCAATGATTGACAATTTCTATTCAACAAAACACTGTTTTTCATGTATCACTATTATGCATTTATGTCTCTAAGCAGGATACAATAATTCCAAAATTGGGCTTAAGACAAATTTTATCTTCCTCCCCATAAGGCATTAACAATTAAATATCAAAGGTTGCACCTTTAATTGACCCTTGATATATAGACATTTGTTTTTCTATTAATAGTGTGGCCTTATAGATGATGGCTTATTCTATATAGGACCTATAGACAAGGCTACATCTAACACAGTGCGTATAGTCAAGGCCATGGTTTTCCCAGTGGCAATGTATGGATGTGAAAGTTGGACCAT